ATATTATTTGATTCAATGTCCTTACAATGTCCATGCAGACCGCCAACCACTGGTGACCATGGCATGTGAGGGAGATAAGATCATTGGACTATACTGGAGCCAGCGTGTAAACCCGCTCTGTGACTACTACTCATCTAATAATTCTGGGAGAACTGACGCTACTGAGGGGCTTCGGGATCTAGCCATGGTTGGATTCAATTTTTTTTCCACAATGAAATTTTATTTAAAGATCTTAGGTTAGTTGATGATATGTTGATGTAAGAAAATACGTGAACAACATTGATTGTTTTTAATGTCTGGAGAAGCTTATTTTTTTTTTTTAAACTTATTTTTTCTTTTTTTTTTTAATTCTAAAAAGGAAATCATCACAGAAGGTAATGTTGAGGAAATTTTGAGAAACACAAGCCAGATCATCCAACGGATGGACAAGAGCAAGGTTATACCTGAAGATGTCAGATACATCGCAGATATTTTCCAGAAGTCCAGTGATGTCAGTGTGAAGACCCCGGACACCGTTCAACTGATGCTGGACATTGCTGCTTTCATGAGGGAATTCCCGGGAGAAGTCTTAAGGGATGCCCAGAGATTAGGGAATGCGACAAACAGGTTCGTCCTCGGATGGTAGCACGTATGTGTGTGTGTCTGTGTGGAATAATGTTTTAAACTATAGTGATATGTTAAAAGTATCTGTTTACTGCCAGGATTCTAACCTTTAAGGCAGCAACCTGCTGTATCATAGTTAATGCGGCCCCTTAGGCTCAAAAGTTTGGAGACCCACTTTTGATTTCAAAATATTTCCCGAACTCCGGTGATAAACAAATGTCAATACGAATGCAAAAAAAAAATAATAATTTTCTGGCTTTCCTTCTATCCCCGACAACAACTGCCGCACCCACAGAGGATGTGAGCACCAATGTTCCCTTTAAACTGTGGGCAGACGAGCGCACACTTCTTGTAATGCCGAAGCACATTAATATTAAATTGCGCACAAAATATTTTTTTATCTGAAAATATTTGAATTTTCAATTACATATTTGTAAACATTTTATAAAGAATAAATATAAAAAGAATAAACTATATGAAAAGAAAGAAACAATATTATTAATAATTATCAATTAAAAATAAAATAACCAATGCGATGTGTCCACATAAAAGTAACTCGTAATCTCCAAGCAAATCTTTGTACCGCGCTTCGAGCCTTTGGGGATGAAGCATGTTTTTGAAATGAACTTTATTATTATATTATTATTATAAATCCATTCACTCTTAATAATATTTACGAACTGATATAATCTTTAGATTGTGCATGATCACTTTAAAAGGGCAATATATTAGAGGCAACATTGGCGTGCACCCTTTGCTAAAAACCACTACTGTATGTAAATGGCCAGTTATAAATACGGGAAGTTTGACTTCTCAGCAGAAAATGCTACGATGTACGAATGTGCCTAAAATTAAACGTCAGAGATATTATTATTATTATTTGTGTGTGGGTGTGTGTGTGTTAAATTCGTAAAGACCCACTGAAGGTGTCTCATCTCATTGTGTTCGTATCTACATGTAAAAAGATACCGTTAACTTGTTTCAAATATCCTTACATCTGTAAGATTGATATGTAGTAATATGTTGTAATAAATAATTGACTAATGATAAAAGCTTAATTAAAATTACATTAAATGTATCTTTTTTTTTTTTTTTAATTTTAATATTTTTTGTAACATATTTAGAATTTTAAAGAGTCTGGATCTATTGGGAGGTCAGGTTGAAATTGGGACCGACCAAAATTACCAGCGAATAACTTCCGGTGGTCTCGGCCTGGAAGTCTGGAACCTTAGCCGTATCAATGACAGTACATTTGTTGTGGGAATTAAGGTGGGTATTTCCTGGAGATTTAATTAAACTACATTCAGCGAGAAGTTAAATTCTCTAGTTTAATTTTTTTTTTTTTAATTTTGTCTGTACGGATCAATCAGTTCTTTCGAGCTAAAATTTTATGTCAAATTTAATGTGTTTTTTCCCCCAGATGTTGTCTGGTGATAAAGCAGCAGAGAATCTCACATCAGAAAATCTCTTCACAGTTACCAAAAACGACCAGGTTGATTATGGGAAAGCAGAAGTAGCCATTCTGTTACAGGCGGATTTAATCAATGTTTGTCAATTATATTATTATTAAGTATTGGGTTGTGTCTTTTTTTAACTTTAGATTGTTTTAAATATGATTTGTATTTCATTGACAATTGGATAAGTTCATCTTTGTTGACATTTCAATTCCTCGCGGAGTGGACTGTCCGCTCCCATGCGTTCTAAAGTCGAACACAGTCGTGCGCTCCGAGGGTCACTTGAGTAGCTTGAGTAAACGTCATGACCATAACATTTGCGCACACCCACTTCAATTAAACGTATAACAAACCCGTGGGCTTGGACTGAGCCTCTTGCTAGCTTCACCCATACTAAATTTTCTAAATTTCATTTACCAACTGGTTAATTATTTTATTTATCTTTAAACAATTCTGGATTTTCCCTCTATCTTTAAACACGATAAAAATAATTCTAAAACCGATTTGTGATGATTGCATACACTGTTATTGTTTTAAAACCTTAATTCATTTAAGGCTGTTTAATTATGTCCTTTGCATTTTGCATTTTTGTATTTAAAGTTTCGTCCCGACAACAGCTTTTACACGGGCCTGGCCCTGCTCGTTTGTCACAAGTGAAATATTATGGGTTTTGTCCTTTTTTTCGGTTGTGTTTTATTTTTTAATTTCTTTTTGCACTGTTATCGTAACATGACAAGTTGAACAATGTTTTAGGACACTCTGAGCAACTACACTGGCTCAAACATCAGACTGGCCATGAATGTCTACTCTGACACAACACTCTTCAAAAATAGCGTACTGGATAAAAACATCAGTACGCCATCTCTCAACAGTAGAATCATAGCTGCGCAAGTAAGTACGGTGTCATTAGTGGACAGCGGCTGGCATTATTGGTCCAACATTATAAACAATTCCACAAATTAACTTTTTTTTTAAATAACCAACTTATTGTTAACTAATGTTTGGAGCACGGTGTGCTCTAATGCTATTCAATGTATCAAAAAGTATATATTGAATTACACATTAGTTTTAATTAAAAAAAGTTGTACATAATATTTATATTTTGACTTCAACCCAGGGGTAGCCAACCCACGGTCCTCGACCTGCATGGGAAAGACGGAATTACGTTGAGCCATCCCCTCGCTTGGACTTTAAAAAAAGAATTAAATTAGAAATCTGGAATCTTATATACACATTTTAAAACAATATTGCGATGCATTAGCTACTAAAATTAAAGGATTTATTTATACACATCTAGGTAAAGGGAACCTAAGTTTCGTGTCTTGTTCTACGGTTAAGTGTAGAATTATAAAAAAATAATTCCGGTATGTGCTAAAATTCATCCATGCATTTTAAAATTACCAATAAAAAAAAGTGGGGTCGGGGTAAAGCACCGTCCTCTGGCCCATTTCCCAATTCACTCCTGACACTTTGTTGTGCGCTCTTGATTTCCACTTCCTCCCCCCCCGCCACCCCAGCCCATTTTGTCGTTTAAATTGGCAAAAACGGGCACCCTTTTATCGACAATTTTCCATGTATACAATGTGTTAACGAGACTGATTTCGATTTAAATGTCTCCAATTTGTTTCTGTGATTTGCGTCACGGGTTGATTGTACTATCATATTTTGCGATGAGAAGAATAAGTAATTGTGTCCATCTTTTAATGGAGTCATTTTTCTTTATTAGGTTTTAACGGCATCCTCCTTGCGTTGAGTTGACGCACGATCAAAGTGTCGCAAGTAGTCATTTAGGTCCCACTTCCCTGCTTTATGCCGTTAATTTAAGTATAATTGTATAAACATGTTAAATTCTTGTTGGGAAAGTTCATTAAAGCTTTAAACTTATATAATAATAATAAAAATATACAAGTCATTTTTTTCAACAGCTGTTGGTCGATGATGAACCGGTCACCAACCTGAGCTCCAGCACTGTCCAGATAGTGTTTCTGCCAGTCAAGAAGGCGCCCACTCACCTGAGACCTGATCTGACGGCGTGTGCCTACTGGGACTTTGAGGCCGAGTCGGGCGCCGGGGCCTGGTCACACGAGGGGTGTGTGTACAACCAAACCATTGACGGCAGGGATGTTTGTGTTTGTGATCATCTTACAAACTTTGCTCTCCTCATGGTACGCGTCTGTTTATGTGAACCGCATCTCCCCTGTTGATGTATCACGCTTCTTGTCATACATAGATCACATTTTGGTGTGTCCCCAATTTGTATCCTCCGTCTGTAACCGATTGTAGGTCAGGTACAGGATTAATTCTTTTACAAATACAGGAAATCAGGTAATGGGGCACAATGGCTTTTATTTTCAAAATAGAAAGCAGGAAAAGAAAAAAGAACAATATCTGAATAGATCCATAATATAGTGCAGGTTAAAATGTCATTCCATAAATAACAAGAAACATAAAACTATCGATAACCGATGTTTTCAAGTGCTTTTCATTGTATTACTTACTATGACTAGCATACACAAAAATAATACATGTGAATGATAAAGTTGAATTGCATGAATGATTTTAAGTTCGAATAATAAAACCCCAAATATTTACAAAAAGGGTAAAAGAAAAGCCTTTAATGACGTTTGATTATTAAAGACAATATTCCGCGGCTTAATTACAACGATATGAAGTATAGACCTTAGCTGTACACTGTCGCACACGCAGTGCCTATCTAGGACACAGGCCAATGGCATTATGTTTAACTATGAGATTTCATTTTTATTGGTCACATTTAATGTTTAAGTGGTGTTTTCAAATAATTTTCTTTGATGGTGAAAAGGTAAAAAAGAAGTAGTTGTATTTTTAAATCTCCCCAGAGTTTCTATGAACAAGAGAGCCTGGACAACGAGCACGCGTTGGCAATGACCATCATCTCCATCGTGGGACTGAGCCTGTCTATTATAGGACTTTCAGCGTCCATTCTTTCATTCCTGCTCATCAAGCAAGTCCCCAAATTGCCTTCAAAACATAAAAAATGCTAAAAGGAAACATAATATCAATCTGTTTCATGATATTTAAATAACTTTAAAAAAAAAAATTTGCACTAAATAATATTCCTGGAATAAACTCACAAAATTACTGGGATAAATTTTAATGCATCTTTTAAAATGACATTTTTAAATTCCACAATAAATTATTATTGTTTTTGCAGAGGTTTGCGGCACGGCCGACCTCAGCAGACACTGTTCCAGCTTTGCCTGGCACTTCTCATGTCCTGGGTCGTGTTCCTGGCCGGAGTGACCCAGACATCGTCCAACAGTGGCTGCATTGCTGTGGCAGTACTGCTCCACTACCTGATCCTGTCCTCCTTCATGTGGATGTTGATGGAGGGAATCTTGCAGTATCTGCTCTTTGTCAAGGTCATGAACACACACTTCTCCCACTACATGTTGAAGACATCCATACCAGCATGGGGTACGTTATAACTCAAAATCCCCATGGTTTAGACATGTGTACCATCATAGACTGGAACAAATATACCAGCATGGGATACGTTTGAAATCCGTGCCACAATGTAGTATGATGGACATCCAAACAAGCATGTGTCAGACATTTATAAGGTTTGGTGTACGATGAGATATGTAACTGGATGTGCTACACATCCATAGCACCATGGGTTAAACATCCATACCAGCATATGGTAAACATCAATACGAAATGATTTTAGACCTGGGTTTAGACATACATACAAGCATGGTTTAGAAAACAAGACCAACATGTACTGTCTTAAAAATACATAATAAAGTGCTGAGTGCCGTCCATGTCTCGACATGTAAATAGTTCTGGAATGGGTGGAATGAATATACATTTGTTTTGTTTTATTTAATTAATGTATGCTCATTTTAACTTCATAACTATGTTTGCTAAATTGTACGTACGGCGTGGTGAGTCCAGCCCTTGGCCGGGGGTGCCTCACTATATAAAACCACATTTAATAATATTAATTTCAGTTTTGGAAATGATGCTATAAAAATTTAACGAATGAAGTCATCTTCCCCCCCCCTTTTTTTTCCCCAGGTCTACCTGTCATTCCAGTTGCAATTACCTTGATTATTGATCCTGAACTTTATCAAGGTGGAAACCAATAGTAAGTTCAACATTTTCTTACCATTAAAGATACCTACAGTTTTCTACGATTTGTGTTTGTCTTTTAAAACATGGAAATATTTATATAAGGTAATTATTGTGTTTGCTTTTTGCGACAGGAAACATTTTGGTAAAGTTTTTTTTTAATACCTTTATTAATCAAATTATTTATTATTTAAATTATTTTAAATTATTTTTACATCAGATCTGGGATAACATGGAAAATTTTTACAATAAAAAACAAAATACAATCTATACAATCAACCTACTCTGCATGCGCAGATTTAAACGCATAGTGCCCTACTAAAAGTGGGTAAAATGTACAAAACATTCGAACGTATAAAGCAGTAAAATCTATTTAAAACGACTAAATCGAAGAAACCGGTTGTATCTCCTTTGATGACTGAGATATTTTTTAATGATTACCGTTACACATTGTTGTCTCACATATTTAACCTTAAGGAACTTTTATAATATTCATCAAAACTACCTAAAAGTTATTTCATTGTTATGTTTCTGTTTATCTCGTTATTGGTCGAATCTTTTTTTTCAGTTCTCACGTTAAAATATTCTTCAAATTTCTTTTTGAACGCACTATACTATTTATAGTAAAACAAAATAATGCGTTCAACAAGAAATTTGAAGCAAAATTTTGACGTAAAAACGGAGAAAAAAAAAGATTCAACCAAATTTCCGTTCGATCAAATTACCGTCGATCCTTTTACCGTCGACGAAATTTCTTTCGATCAAATTTCCGGATACGCGTCCCTAGTAGTAACACTTTCTCTCATTCTAATTTGTATGAGTCTGTTTATCTCATCCCGATTTCACTCATTCTAATCCCCAGCTGTTGGATGTCGCTGCCTGCCTTCTACTACAGCTTTGTTATCCCCGTTGGCCTGATCGTCTTGACCAACATCGTCATTTACGTCATGGTTGTGGTCAGCTTGTGCCGTCGGGAGGACATGACCCAACACAGTTCAAAGAAGCAGAATCAGAATGTCGTTAACATTAGGGCTTCGTTCATCTGTTTCTTTGTACTGGGTAAGTGGAGTTGAAACAGTGGTATGAATCTGGTCGTTGAATAGTGGACAGTAAATGTGGATAGACCTAGCTGTCAATGAAGAATGACTTCAGCCGTAAATGTGAATGGACCTAGCTGTTCATGAAGATAAACTTCGGCAGTAAAAGTGGTTAGACCTAGCTGTCAATAATGAACAACTTCAGCAGTAAATGTGGATAGATCTAACAGTCAATGAGGATCAACTTCAGCAGTAATTGTGGATTGACATAGCTGTCAATGAGGAATAACTTCAGAAGTAAATGTGAATGGACCTAGCTGTTAATGAGGAACAACTCCAGCAGTAAATGTGAATGGACATAGCTGTCAATAAGGAATAACTTCAGCCTAAATGTGAATGGACCTAGCTGTCAATTAGGAACAACTTAAGAAGTAAATGTTAATGGAGCTAGCTGTCAATTATGAACAAGCTCAGTAGTTTAAGAGTGAATGGACCTAGCTGTCAATAAAGAACAACTTCAGGAGTAAATGTGAATGGACCTAACTGTCATTGAGAAATAACTTCAGCAGTAAATGTGGATGGACCTAGCTGTCAATGAGGAAGAATTTATTAAGCGGAAAGTATGAAATTTTTGTAGCAATAAGTGTTGCATAAAGGCACATATCCCTTGATTGACTTCCCGATATTTTGGCCAGTTTTGACGCCCTCCGTCAGTCATCACAACTTTATCTCACAATTTAGACGACCTCATAATGCATCGTCACAAATTTCTGACCACCTCCATTTACCAGGGGTGGGGCGTCAGTTAAAGATTTTCCCAGCTCTAGCATTAAAAGAAGAATAAGTATAGCATAAAAATTTGGAAAAACAATTATCAGTTGTTTTGAATGACAGTAAAATTGGAATAACTAGCAGCGAATTTGGAATAACGAAAGTTTAACATTATTGCTTTAATGTCCACACAACAAATTCCCTAAAATATAATCATCTGCCTAATTATAATCATAAGTTGGCCGATTATATTAAAGAAATTATTTGGAGACACTTTCGATAGCTCAATTTTTTATTTTTTTTGACGTCTCCCGTAGAGAAGATGAAAAAGAAATATTTATTAAAATTAGTTATTTTTTCAATATATAACCCGATTTCAATGTTGATTCATTTGAATCCTTACCTTTCACCGTTGTCTGTTCTTGTTAGGAGATACTCTGCTTTCCCAGTCGAGAAAATTTATAATTGTACAAATATTTTAAAATTTAATCGTATTCTATTATGACTCGAGACCTTAAATTCAACAATAATGTATTGGCGTTTTGAATTTCTATCGATTAATCTTAAACACAAGAAGTATTACGTCTCACAATTTCTTTTTCTTACCGTTTCAGGTCTGTCCTGGATCTTTGGCTTCCTGGCCATAGACGACGCCCGCATTGTTTTCCAGTACATGTTTTGTATTTCTGCGTCGCTGCAGGGATTCGTCATCTTTGCCATGATGACTGCACGGGATAAAAATGTCCACGATTTTTGGCTGCCAAAGTTGTCCAAGTTTTGCTTTTACTGCACAAGCCTTACCAATAGAGGCACATACACAATAAGGGGTGAGTTACACATTGATTCTAATGACAGGCGGAGGAAAGGGGGGGGGGGCTTATTTTAGTCCGTTTCTTTCGGTCCACTTTTTTGATACAGTATAAATTATTTTCATGTGTATTCTGTATCTATTGGGTGTTTTTTTTTATCAGGGGCGTCAAAATCAAGGAGCGCTAAAAAGTCTAGTGACTCCAGTACTTCTTAAAAGTTGTGATACGAATATCTCAATTTACTCGGTAAGACTAACACTAGCTGCAACATTCACATGGTGTCACATATTTGCCATGACGATCTAGGGGGAAAAATTCATTTGGTCATTGTTAGAAAGGGTGACTTCAGCAATTTGTTTTAATTTCATTTATTTACGAGGCAGGAGAAAAAAAAGGTACTAAATTCTTCAAGTGATCTTCAGTAAAGTAACTGGCAATGGTAAATGTGTATGGGTGGTGCTAAAAAAAATAAAAGAATTTTCCCTTCATAATTTTACAGACACAATCTTCAAACTTTACAGTCTCAGAGAAGCTTTGGTGAACTTTCCGCTTTTTCAGTGTTCTACTTTTACTGTACATATCTACGTTTACTGTACATATCTACGTTTACTGTACATGTCTACGATTACTGTACATATCTACGTTTACTGTACATGTCTACGTTTTGCATCCTCAGAAAAAGGAATTCCCCCAATGGCTGCAGCTTGGGATTTCGATGCTTCCTACAGTGATCAGTCAAAGTCGAATGACTTAAACCTTGATAACACCAACCCTACAGTTCTCAGGAACAGCTCAGAAGCATGACATAAACAAACATAAAGTTTTCAGTAACACGCCACAGAGGCAGGGGCAGCAACAAACCTACAGTTCTTAGTAACACACCACAGAGGCAGGGACAGAAAGAAAGAAACAGTTCCTAGTAACACTTTCCGCCAGGCAGTGACAGCAATAAACATACAGTTTTCAGTAGCACACAACGGAGGCAGTGACGAAAACAAACATACAGTTCGCAGTAACACACCACACAGACAATGACAGAAACAAAACTAGAGTTCTTAATGACAAACCAAAGAGGCAGGGACAGCAACAAACCTACAGTTCTTAGTAACAAACCACAGTGGCAGGGACAGCAACAAACCTACAGTTCTTAGTAACAAACATCAAAGGCAGTGACAGCAACAACCATGCGGTTCTCTCTCTCTCTCCATCCATCTGCTCAACCCAAAAGAAGTCCATGTTTCATACCAGTGATTTTCTTATTGTATTGCTATTGTTTTCTCATGGGATGACTTATTAGTGTAGTAAACTGGTCTTACATAGCGCGGTACCCCAGGCTAGGACTAGGATCACCGTGCTTCACATAAAAATTAGCAAAAAGAAAGAAAGAAAAAAGAATGACAATAAAAATCAGTTACATTTTTTTTTCAATTAAAACATATCCATTATCTTGTATGATAGCCTTATCTTGTATGAGATCCTTATCTTGTATGATATCCTTTTATTGTATGATATCATTATCTTGTATAATATCATTTTCTTGTAAGATATCCTTATCTTGTATGATATATACATCGTGTATGATGTCTGCATCTTGTATGATATCTGCATCTTGTATGATATCAGCATATTGTATGATATAATGCATCTTGTATGATATCAGAATATTGTATGATATATGCATCTTATATGATATCAGCATATTGTATGATATATGCATCTTGTACGATATCATTGATCCATGCTAACCTTTAACTGCCAAAGCAGACCACACCGTAAAATAGCTAATTTGCTTATGTAATACTTATTGTACATTTAAACGTTTTATCTTCTCTTATAATCTCAGACCCAATATCTTCAGATTTCATGAGATGCTTCCGTTTCCGTGATGAAAACTTATTTTATTTCCTTTCCAACTCATTCTATCTTGGATAAGTTATTATCGTTATTCTCTTTTGTTCTTTGAACTCTTGTCTCTGCTTTCTTTTTTCTTCTAATAAAGGCTTTTTTTCCCGAAATGTTCGTTTGTTTGGCGATATTTCGAACTTTCCCCTCCTTCGTGCGTTATATTTCAGTATTGGTCATATTCAAAGATTATAAGTGGCGCAGACACTTCAGATGACAAACAACGGGATTTTCCTGTCAAAAGAAACAAAGGGATTTTCCTAACAAAAGAAACAAAGGGATTTTCCTGTCAAAAGAAACAAAGGGATTTTCCTGTCAACAGAAACAAAGGGATTTTCTTGTCAAAAGAAAAAACGGGATTTTCCTGTCAAAAGAAAAAACGGGATTTTCTTGTCAAAAGAAACAAAGGGATTTTCCTGTCAAAAGAAACAACGGGATTTTCCTGTCAAAAGAAAAAGCTGGGATTTTCCCTTCAAAATAGGGGATTTATTGTATTGTATGTTCTCTTACCATCATTTTATAGTAGGTTACAGTTATCAGGATTTCTTGTCAGTTTTTTTAATGTTAGGATATTTTTTTTCAGGTATCATAATACCTAACAACAATCAGCGATCATGTAAAAGATTATTTTTGTTTCATATTTTAGTCACTGAATGATGTACTTGACATTTAATGGTGTAATTGGCATGTACGGATGTACGTGATATTTATTGATGTAATTGTCATTGATTGATGTACTTGTCCTTATATTGATGTACTTCTCCATTATGGATGTACTTGTCATTTATTAATGTACTTGTAATTTGACATACTTGACAAGTCATGATGTGCTTGTCATTTATTGACAATCTTGACAATTCATGATGTACCCGACATTTATTAATGTACCTGTCATTTTTTTTTTGGTCATGTATTCAAGAGCTAAGCATTTAATCTTCTGCATCGATTGAAGGTTGTTTTCGTTTTTGTTTTTTCCCCTAGAGTGGTATGTACCAGTATCAATATTTTCATTTTTTTTTTCAAACGTACAGAGCAATACTTAAGGTGCTTGGTTTTTTTTCATTGAAGTCGAAACTTTCTTTCCATTCATTTAATCTAACGCCTGTTATTATTAAAATCTTTTAAATCGTTTGGCGAGGAACTATTAGAAATGTGATTATACTTTTTTTTTTTTAAATATTTCTTCTTACCCGTGCCCGGTAGGGTAGGGGGTTAAATACCACATGTTTCATATGATCACGCTTTTAAAATATGGTTGTTTTTGTTTTTTGTTGTGTTTTTTTGCTGGCATCCGTCCGTCACAATGTGACGATGGTGTGGACCTCGCGGGACGAAATCCACAAGGCCTGGGATATTTCTTCAAGGATTATAAGTTGGTTTCCAACAGCAAATCGCCTCTATCCAAGCCGCTGGATAACCCGAGGAAAATCGTGTGGATGAAACAGCTTGGCACCAGTGGCGTCGCAGGAGTTGTTGGAATGTTTCATTGTACCAGTGTTATCCGCCTACGGGACTCCATCTCCGGCTTTGAGTTCAGAGTTTCCATCTCTTAGATGAGTTGCCATCTAAGGTTAACGAGTCCCATCTACCCGGGGTGCTGGTGGTGATTTTGCTTGACTGGGCTTTGGCTGGAATTGAACTCCAGGCCACCAACTTGAGATTTGCTCAGTTTAATGGTTAATTGTTATAATTCAAAGGAAATTTTACACCACTGATTTTACGAAATGAAAATCCCGATAACTGCGCCAAATACTTTTGGTTGGAAAACATGTGTTTCTGAAATAGTGGGGGAAACAAATCTGCGGGGTAAAAAGCGAGTGGGACATAAGAATTTTAATATAAAATAAAATAATAAAAATGCACCTAAGGGTTTGTATACGTAAAGCTTTGTTTTTAGGGGTTGGTTTATTTAATCTAGTATTCTGCGTGAAACTAATCTCTAAAAATTTCTCAGCGTTCAATGATCTGTACTAAACTAGGTCAACTGAAACAAAATACAGGTACAAATTTAATATTATTGGAACCTCTCAAACTCGTCCACAAAACCGGTTTTCCCCAAAGGTCCACCCCTGGAATTCAGTCAGAATGCAGCAGCCCATCGAGATCCTATAACCAGTCATCTGAGACGACGTTGTCCCCTGTTCAACATTCTGGACGCAGATCAGCTACAGGTCACTGGTCACACACTGTGGTCCCCGCTTGACGGCAACGAGGATGTTACGACTTTACTTTAATAACTTGAGACCTTCATCAAATGTCGCGACCTTCTTACGTTGTCTCCAGTTACGACCTTCTCAATACTCGACATGTTAGGATCTTCATCCCTTACCCTTCAACACATCCCGCAGTAGTTACGTTTACTGCACAGTCAACAGACTCCACGTTGTCTAGGAGTTTACAACACTTTCTTAATATCTATATTCATATCACAACTCCAGCTTGGAAATGTAACAGTTCTTTATTTACAGGATCCAATATCAACTCACAGTGACAACGATCAATGGCGATAATACTAACGCTCTGACTACTCTCTCGGCTGGACTCACATCAGCTCAACTCCTGACCCCCCCCCCAACCGTGTCTCTCTCTCTCCTAGCGCTACTACTCAACTAACTCTTGACTGACAACTTTCGGCGACCAACAATTCTTCTCTTGCTCTTCTACCTTTTTTCTGACCTCTAGCTAACACACATCCCTTTTATGTTACCACACAAAACAACTCACACGCCAACGTTCCACACCACGGACTAGCTTCACGCTCTGACCTCACGATCAACAACTCACAAAACACTCTCCCGATTCACGACTCCCCCTACCCAACATTCACAACAACCTAGTTCACAACAGTGGAGGCGATGATTCGTCCTGTATTATTTTGTAATTAATCGTCTTTGGAAATTTGTCTGAAGTCATGCCCCAGCATTGGGTGTTAGCAGGCTATTATTAAATTTATATTTTTGTATAGAATACCGGGATCTCTCATTTTAAACTAAAGTTATTTTTTTAGAAACAAACTCGCAATCAGTCTTCGACTACAGTACAATAG